GCTCACTGATTTTCCAGCGAAACCAGCAGACAGCATCAGCCGAAAGGAGAAGCCACCGACAGCAGAACCAGCCGACAGACGCTCCAAAGCAGCCCCAGACTTGAGCATACGCAAGGGAGACGAGAAGGGTCTCAGCAGCTGACAAAGCCCAGCCGAACCGAGCAGAAACGGAACCAGGGACCAGAAAGAGACACTACACCATCATAACCCCAATGTGGGAGGGGGTGTTCTCCCCCAGAAAAGTTTGAATGAAGTAGGTGCTGTTTCCTGCATTCTGGTGTGTTTGCACGTTGTTAAACATATTTTAAACTACATAAATAAACACTTTTGTATCTATTTTAGAGACAGATTCTACATTTAACTCAATATATGAATCATCCTTTTTGTGTCACATTGGACGTTTGATTCTTTGACCAGCTGGTAGGAAGTAGAGTTTTAAAAGGGTTAAATAAAAACATTGGTGACTGCATCGTGGCAGCCAGCCTTCTCTTTACAGACAGTAGTTTGACAAGAGAACAAAAAATAAAGTTTCTTCTGTTGCTCCATTTTTAAAATATATATAGATTAATTTATTTTGTTTTATTTTACTGTCACAGCTCTAACCCTCCTCTCTATTGGCTAGGGACCAACAAATGGATCTATTTTAACCATAGAAATGTTTTTATTAACATCCCATCATGGATCAGTCGCAGCAGCAGTATTCATTTCATGTCTGGATGGGATGGAGATCTACCTGCAGCAGGGAGAGACTCAGCGTGAAGAAGCCTCCTGTCGGTGCTCTGGGACCGGGGAGGAGGAGCTCTCAGCAGCAAAATGGAGAAATGCGTTCACGGCAGAGTCTCTATAAGTCTCAATAACACCAGACAAAGAGTCGCTAGATTTTCACTAGTTTCTTTTCTGAATAACAGTCTCTAGAGGGTCTGTAAAGTCTGTAAATATAGTGAAGAAGTCGCTAAATCAGCACCACTGTGTTCCACAACCCGCCACCTCTCATGTCAGCGAACAGCGTGTCGGGTCGATTACGTCACACACTGGAGTGGTCAAATTATCGTACATTATGGGATTATTGGGATTATTGATCGTACATCGTACAGAGGGCAAATTTATCGTACAAATACGATAATTATCGTACACCTGGCAACACTGGTTCAGGCATACCTAATACCTACTCATGCTTGTGCTTTTTTTATTTTATTTTGTAAACCAAAAACATTATTAACATAAAAATATGACCACTTTTATCATGRCCTTTGACATTTTCAACCAAAGACAACAGGGTGTTCATGTTTTCACTCCTCTAGCTGTTTGATTTTCTATGGAGTTAGCTAAATATCTTAGGAACTTAAAAAAAGCTATAATTGTCTGGGAACGCCTTGGGATTCCCCRGGTCGAGCTGGCCCAAGTGGCTGGGGAGAGGAATGTCTGGGTTTCTTAGGCTGCTGCCCCCGCGACCCAATCCCGGATAAGTGGCAGAAAACGGATGGACAGATGGTTGATTATTTACAWGRGATAAACTTTTWAAGTCAATCCAAGTCAAGSTGGCCCCCACAGCAACCTCAGCCAACATAGAAATGTGTCACCGTGTTACAGAAAGGCAGCTCAAATTAGCTGTGTTAGTAGCTAAAAATCACTCCCAACATATACACTGAGTGCTACCTGATCCCTTTAGATCAACTCTTACTGTCTGTTAGCAAAATAACTCAGTGATTCCCTGAGAAAAAAGTGATCAGGCCGAGTTTATTAGCCTGTTGGACTCAGCTTCCAGTTGAACAGGTTTTCTCTGAAACCCACCAGAAGTTAAAGGATATTAATTTAAAAGTTAAAAAGTTGCATCCGTAGCACTGCTGTCCTGAATGAGCTGAATGCTTTGATATTTACATGGCTGAAAAACAGTGTCCTGAGGTAAATACAACAACAACAATGTTGCAGTCCAGATGAGTGTTAGCTGTTTGGGAGATTTTTTATTTTTATTTTGCCAGAACAAATATGTATGTTCAAAAATATGGCACCAAATTATAAACTGTTTAACTGTAGAATTTTACATCTGACCTGTTGGTTTACTGTTATGGCTGTGATATGGTTACTGAGCACTTTGTTTTTTCTGTGCAGGTTCTGGAGTCCCTCAGTTCAAACCCATCGCTCTGAACTCGGGCTTTAGGATTGAGGTTCTGGTAAACGGCTCGCTCCTCATCAAACATGTGCTGGAAGAAGACAGTGGTTTCTACCTTTGTAGAGTCAGCAACGACGTCGGGGCRGACGTCAGCAAGTCCATGTACCTGAACGTCAAAAGTAAGTCTCGTGCTCAAACGTGTGTCCGTAACGCTGAGGCTGCTGAGGATCGTATCAGTGTGGTTAGTGAACTGAAAGGTTTACTGGACTCCTGGTGGACTGATACATCCAGCAGCCTCAGCAGCATCCATGTTAGCCATGCTCTGCACATCTTCATGTAGCATGGATGTTGTTCAGTTTACAAACTAAAGCGTGTCCTGAAACACCAGAGTGTCATATTTTTAGAAAGATGGTTACGAAAACCAACAAAAAAAGGTCACTTCTTTAGCTAACCATCTGTCCTTTTCAACTCTGAATTCAATGTTCCAGTTGATCACATACATGGAGCCTGACTGGGTTATCTCTCAGAGTTTTTGCTGTTTTCAGTGTTTGTTTGTGCATCTTGTAGCCTTCTCTCAGGTGGATTATCTTCTCCTGAGGCCTCTTGTTGTTGTGGCACTCCTGCTGTCCTGAGTGTCCTCTGGGCCACACACCTCCCTGTGTCTCCTGTGTGAGACGCAGGAAGGTGTGTGTTTGGGCACAAAAGCCATCTTCTTGTTTTTCTTCCTGTTCAAAGGGAGTTGTTGTTTCTGTGGTCACCAGTGTTCTGCTCCGGATGGGAGGTTGTAACAAAGTGAAGATTTGTTGCAGTCTGCTGGCTTCCTTCTCAAAGGTGGACCTGGTGTAGGGGAGAGGTACCATCAAGTTCRGGTGTAGGCGAGTGATGTGCCTAAGTCTGCAGTGATCACCCCGTTTTGGCTTTTTGAGTTCCTCTGCATGACGTTTGGACCCAAAGGGGCGGAGCAAGCATTTCAGAGGTTGATGGACTCAGTGTTGCAGGGTCTCAGTTTTGTGTTCATCTATCTTGACGACATTTTGGTGGCCAGCTCATTTACTGAAGAGCACCTGAAGTTTTTTAGCACTGGGGGATTGAATTTCACACAACACTGTRCCTCTGGGACCCCCTAAGCTCGAGGGTGCTAGATGCATTACTGCTTGCCRATCATGAGTGCTGACTACAGTTGGAAAAAGAGCATCCTGATTTGATTTGATTTATTTTTTTTAACAGGAAAAGATTATTAAAAATCAAGCCTGACTCAGCGTAATTGCTGTTTTACAGCAGGTTCCTYTTCTGCAGCACATAAAACACTCAGAATTACAGCATCACAATCACATCATTATACACCATAGACACTAAGACAAACAAGCATACCAAATTTCAAAAAGGCAGCATTTGGAAAATAGGATGTCTAAATATGAGCACAACAAGACGTGTCCAGCAGATGGCAGACAAGATTCTTCTTAAAGGGCTGTAGTTTTGAAATGGACATTATGCTTTGAGGAATGTCATTCCATGCTTTAGTATAAACATAGAAGAAAGACCTCTGGCCATAACAGTTTTTAAAAGTTGGTAAT